GAGCATGTAAACATGATAGTTTTTATATAGTACACAAATCTCAATAATTAAAAAAAAAATATATATATTCTTTGAGTTTTCTAAAAATCATATTTTGAATAACTACTTCATTGTTGAAGAAAAATATGGGTGCAGTATACTTGATGAATCACTCTGTATACAGGTATGGATATTGAGTGACAAGGAGTGACCCCATCCCCCTTCTCATAGRCTATTGCCTAATTAATATTGGTACACAGTGATAAGATGCGGAAAACAGTAATTTTTTTATTAGGYTCTTAAATATGTTTTGTATCTATGTGGCCATGCATAATGTACGTCATATTTTAATTATATTATATATTATGAGCGTGTGTTATCTTGTATATTCGCTATGTAATACCACTAATCCCTCTTGCATAGTATATATATATATATTTTTTTTATTACTTAATTATAAAATGTAAAATAATAATCCTTCAACGAGTGCTAAACAATACAAGACGTGTGCTGAAGTAATAACTCGTTTCATCGTTTATTTCATTTATGTTAACCTGTTCGTTGGTGAAATAATATATAAATATAATATATAATTTAATAATTTATTATATTATGCATTAAATGCTACTCGCCACTATGAGTTGTGTCTAATTTAACTTCGATTTCGTCTCATTCTACACGTTAGATATTTATATATGTCACTGATGTACTATATAAAAGATCAAAAAGTTATATAGCTACTACCACTATAACTCTTACATCCAGTTTATTTGTATTAAATAATATATTTTAATAATGTACTCTCTAAACGAATCTGGATATTTACACAATATACAGATAGTTTAGGAAAATACAATWCAGGGTGAGACCAACAAAAACGCAATAAAAAAATTTAAGGGACTCCCTAATAAATTATACTATAAACAAATTGATTGTAGTATAATATTATAAYTTCACTTGTGCAATGCTGTACGCCGTGTGTTCAGTTAAATTCAATGAAATGATAAAAGAAAAAACAACGAAAYATGTCTCATTATTTCTAATAATTCTTTTTTTTTCATACAAATTTTCAATTTTAAAAAAATTGAAAAATATATTGATTTTTTTWWAAATAAATTACCCTTTGTATTTCATTTTTCTAAATTATAGAAATAAAAGTCTTTCTCGCAGAATTAAATCGATTCAAGGTTTGAAATCAAACAAGTGGTTGGCGCGGCATTCTGTTTTTGTTTTTACGTAGYTTATACTCGAAATAATACACCCATCAAAGTCAACGCCATAGACGTCATATTGTAGTAAATATCGGTATAAAGTATGATTACTGTGTAATATAATATAATATTGTGTCTATATTAAAATTATATTTACTTATCATAATTACATCTCACTGAATTTTGTTTTAATAGCAAAACGTATTACACGGCTTGATGTGTAGGCAATATAGGTACATAACCGCACGTAGTGAGATGGTTTAGGAGGACCGTATTAATTTGATCCGCAGCTGTACACAGAAATTCATAATATTCTACTAACTGATTATAGTAGTTGCGTATACTTGCACTTTGTGTAACAGCGCATTATTGTTGAAGCCAGCTTTGTATTGTTACTTGTTAGTAGTTGTTACTTGTTTGTCTAGTCCTATGAGATCATATTGAGTTATTTRCTGAGTATTATTGTATCACTTTCCTAGAGATCAATKTTAAATCCAGGCGTGTGATCCAGGAATTTATTTTAAATTATTTTTGTTTGGAATTTTTATCGATCCCCTAATAAATTAAACTGTCAACAAGATATGCGTGTTAAAATATTCTATAATAATYGAAACGATTTTTTCATTATTATTAATGAGCCTTGATCAAACATTTTTCATGGAAATACATAGCTTATGTAATCAAGTTCAATAAAATACGATACCATTTCATTAGTTTTTTAATTACTTGCTGATACGATTAACCGAAATTTGAGGCAAGACACATTGAGATATCGTACGAAAATAAGCATTGAAGATGAAAGTAACCCTGTGGAGMTTATTTAAAAGACAATTGATTCGTATTTACCAATTAGATCGATTTACAAAAAATGAACAATACAGTATAATAATATGTTAAGTATTTTTTTTTAAATAAATAATTATAAAAAATGTATATTTATAAATCATAATTATGTCATAAAGTATAAAAATAAATATTTATAACTGATAATTGATAAAATTGTGTCGTCTACGAAAAAAATTAGTTTTCACCAGAAAATTCGTTTGGATTCAACACTAAATGAAATAACCATGACGGGCTACAACTAGTGTTTGAAGTATGAGAAATATTTCACTAAGTTGTGAAATATTTCAATGTTTTGTGAAATATTGGATTTTTATTAATTATTTCACTATTTGGCCCTACTGCATTATCAATTTTATCTTCACGCCAATTTAGGAGATAACTAGAATACAGTAATTATAATTTATATTATTTCAAGTTCATTAGCAAAAAAAAATATGATCTTTRTAATATATACTAATATACCTAAGTACCGGTTTTCTAAAAATTAGGGCTTTAATGTTTCTTTTTAATATTTATTAATTATTATATTTAATATTTTTATTATGTTTTTTGTTATATTTAATTATATAATTACATATTGATTATTAGTAAGAAAACTATGATCTTTATAATACATATATACCTAAGTACTGGTTTCCTATACAAATAAATGTCATAAAGATTCATGATCAAGAAAACTCTGATCTGATTTTTAACATATAAGTATATAACTAGTATATAACTATATAAGTAATCACGTTCATGGTACATATACAATATACGATACCTACGTACCTATTCCTTATTTATTTTACATTTTTACATCTAATAATAGGTACACAAAAAAATTACAACATATTACTATACATTGAAACTGAGAAAAAA